AACCGGCAAGATAGGTTTAATCTCACGTCAATCGAAACCCAAGATAAATCCTTAAAGCGATAAAGAGCAATATTAACGAGGTGAAAAGGAATGCCTTCCCGTGCTCAGTCCTTAATAAGAATCTAAAAGCGTTTCGCTCTCTTTCTCTCTCCGACCACGCACACCCCCGTCTGAATCTAACGTAAGCTACCTCGAAACTCAATCACGCGACGCGCAGACGCGGCTAACGATTTCCCGAGCGCTTTGTAACGCGAGACACAAAGGTCTATATCGTACCAAAGTATTTATCTTGAAAGCGCCAGCACGCTTGATCGCCGCTAATATCCCACTAATCCACTTTGCACAATCTTCCTTCGTACATAATTCCAGGTACTCCGCCCATAGATCATAAACACTTCCGTGCGGCTCGCTCATTCTCCGCGCCTAACCGCGCCGTTTGCGGTCTCGTTCGGGGAGGGACCGTTTAAAATGTGCCATTATAATCGACCTTCGCGTTGCACGCTTCGAGGAGCGCGAAGGGATACGTTCCACGGGTATTGCGTTAACATTTGCGTGCGCGAGGCTTTTGAGATGAAAAATGTCACGAAGGAATTTAAATAATCTCATTCCATAATGGCGATATCGTGCAAATTCAATGACACGTGCATGCATGCCTGTGGATATAATATGCGTAAGAAATTTAATAATAACAATGTTTTACTTTGTCTTATTTCTTTCTTTCAATATATTTAAAAAGTTACATTCAATAATCTTTTTTAAAAGTAAAATAGAAAAACGGTGAAAAATTCTAGATTAAATGAAATTATTAAATAATAATAATTTTTTTTATTGCCATTCTTTCTTTTTGCGCTAATCAACGTAAATTTTGATTTTATTAATAATTGCATTTATACATATGTGTGTAAAAATAGTTTGTCTATACCTGAAATGTGCTACACACACACATATGGAATAGATGAATAAAAAGTAAAAGTATTCTTATATTTTCGCGATTATTTTTTTAGTTGCCGTGACCACTCGTTGATACATTTTTTTTTCTATCTCCATGACGCATTTTCTCTTTACCTTTTTATCCGGCAAAACACCCGCGTGTTTTTTTTTTCAGCCCATGCGCCTTCCCGTCAACACGATGTAATCTACCAAATGTATAAAGTTCGCGGCATTGATGCGCTGTCGGAACTTTATGAAAATCCATTTTCTTGTGAATTTGTAAGATCTTGTGAGAAGGGCATGGCTTTTAATTAGTAATTTTCGTTAAAATAATTTGTATATTTTACATCAAATTTTATCCTATTATAAAAAATGAATACTTTCTGGATTATTTTTTATCTATTTAACATAAACTTTATAAAATCACGTGGAGACTTTATAAAATATTCTTATATTTTCGCGATTATTTTTTTAGTTGCCGTGACCACTCGTTGATACATTTTTTTTTCTATCTCCATGACGCATTTTCTCTTTACCTTTTTATCCGGCAAAACACCCGCGTGTTTTTTTTTTCAGCCCATGCGCCTTCCCGTCAACACGATGTAATCTACCAAATGTATAAAGTTCGCGGCATTGATGCGCTGTCGGAACTTTATGAAAATCCATTTTCTTGTGAATTTGTAAGATCTTGTGAGAAGGGCATGGCTTTTAATTAGTAATTTTCGTTAAAATAATTTGTATATTTTACATCAAATTTTATCCTATTATAAAAAATGAATACTTTCTGGATTATTTTTTATCTATTTAACATAAACTTTATAAAATCACGTGGAGACTTTATAAAATAAAAAAAAGCACAGATCATAATTTGGAATAATTAAATAATATTGTCATTTATTGAAATTTATTTATTTATTTCTAGAATACTTTCCTTTTATATAATAGAAATCAAAAAAAAAAAAAATATCAATTGCGTTATTATATCCTACAAATATCAATTATTTTACAAAAATTTATTCTGCTATGTCTGTTTCGCCGAATAACGAAATTCCACGAATATGGAAAGCATTTTGCACGAATAAGTAAATGAGCTTTATTTTAAACGCGCTGGAAATGTGTATCGCAAAAGCATGCATTACATTCATCGCTTCTCTCCCTTATATAATATACCGTCTGCCTTGGAATCGCGAATTCCAGAACCAACACGAGTTTCCACATGCAGAAATATTAAAGTTCTAAACCTGTACCGACGGTAATAGTCGGTAATAATACCGTAGTTCGCTAATTGCGAGATATATATATCGGCGCCTTGGAAATTACTATTGTTAAAAATCGTACTCCGTCAAGAGACTACTCCAAATGTTACGCAAAATATTTCCGCATGAAATGTTCCTATGAGAAACTTCTTAGGCAAAAACCGACGAGTGTTAAAAGATTTTAAAACTGCATTTTATAGCTATCACACGAAATCGAAAGTTAGCTTACAAAAATCGATTTAAATTAGTATATGATTTATTTTATAAAAAATTTTGATTTTGAATTTTATAAAACTTTTTGATTTTGTTGATCAGAAATTGTAGTGCAATACTCTAGAAATATTTTTATCTCTTTCTGCTCATTCTGCTTCTTCAAGTATACATATCAAGTAAACATATTATGATAATCACTATCTTTGTTGTTATATAGGGCGCCCACATATTTGCTATCTTCTCTCAACACTTATCGTCGTCTACGAAGATTTGTGAGTAGTCGGCTTGTACTGATTCCACCAGCATTGTTTGCGAACATTGACCACGAGTCTTTTGGATTCTTTGCAGGTATACAGCCAGAAAGGCGAGCAGAAACACCGTGAGATGGGCCGCGACAAGTCTTAAGCGACAAGGCCCGACAATGGGCCTGGAATCACTAGAGAGCTCCGAGGGTGGTCGCATATAATCGACAGGTAATAAAGTATACTCTCTCGAGGCATGTCGCCCAATCGTTTTTTCTGTCTCTCTCGACAGGTGAGAAAAGGCGATCCTAGCGACAAGAGAAACAGATCGGGACAAGAGATCTCCGCATTGTATCTTGAAGATTACATTCCGCTTCCTTCCCTGAGTGGTTTACTCGAAATACGTCTCGAAATAGGGTGGAAAATTTTGTACAAGGTAGAAAGATCCTCGTAAAGATATAGAAGACGCGGGGAAAATATTCAAGAATTACGGAACGCTCATGAACTCCTTCAAAAGCACAGGCGAAGACTTACTTCTTTTTTCGTGAAAAATAAAAACGGAAGCAACGGAAAATAAAAATAGCACGCAAAGCACTCTTTACACGATTTATCAAATCTCTCGCTGATGGAGACATTGTTATATTTTTCGTAACAATATTTCGGATATGTCGAAAGTATGAGAATCTTTTGTGTAGTCTTTAACATTTTGCATCGCAAAAATGCAGTTTTAAAAATCGATTATAATGTTTGATATTTATTTCGATATGATATAAAATGATTATATATGTATGTACATCGATAATTAATAATATGTGCAATGCTATAATGTATGTGTGTGTATAAGAAAAACACACGTTTATCGAAAGTCAAAAAAATTGAAGCGAAAAAGTTGCATTGCCCCAAAACATTTGACAAGCTTCGAAGATAAATCCAAGTGAACCAACAATAGATGCATCGCATAGCTCGATAAATCCTTCGCTCTGAAACTCACGAACGCCAAAAATACGACTGAGTATATGGCCGTTGCTTTCCTTACTTTAGTTCTGCGCTCTCTTGAGTTCTTTCGAGACGCTGCTGAAGAAGCGCGGAAGCTCCTCGTTTGTATTGTACGCGGCACAGCTCGCGCTCGTAAGTTTCGACAAAGTTTTCGCTATATCAAACAAGGCTGCCTCAAAATTCGTGAAACACGATGGAAAAGTCGTCTTTTGTTGCGTGCAACGGATTTTATCCATTGATAGTAAGGCTTCGATATTTTTCGACACACTCATTAAAAATACGATTGCATTGGAAATTGGTTGAGTTCCTGCTATTAAATATATTACATAACTTGCAAATATTAATATACTAATTGTTAGATTATCATTAATATTCATACTATATTAAAATGATTGCTATTTTGCGCATATAATCAAAAGGTATTAGTTTGAATTATTTGAACATGATTATTAATAATAACATAGTTCACAAACAACTTGGTGAAAATATTAAATCTTTTTAATGTTGTATGTTTTTATTTATAAATAGAAACACGGTGAAAAATCTTATTTGAAAGTGTTTTTTTTTTTTTAATATTAGTTCATTTTCTTGTGTTCTTTATTAAATCTATATAAATAAATGTGATTAATCAAGATATCAAAAATGTCGATTTTTTGAAGCGCCGATTTTTTATTATCGTAATTAAAATTTTTTAAATTTATTTTCGATGTGCTAATCTCGAAATATACAATCGCGTCAATGACTGATGCCGCGTATAGATTCGATGATATCTTAAGGACATGCAAATCTATGGATCTGACAAAATTAGACGCGCCAATGTAGCATTATGTATATATCCCGGCGCGCTCCAAAAAGCCTGGAAACCGACATTGGTCGGCTCGCGTGCACCGACTGACCTCGTTCTCCTTCAACCCTTGAACCGGGAGAGGGAGAATCACGTGGTCACACGTCGAGAATTTTACCGTTTTTGGACCGTAGAGGACGGAGATAGTGCGCGAAACGAAAGGACATGATGACTCCCTAACCTTTGGGAACCGCATTCAAAAGTTCGGCCACTCAAAGGGAAATGAGAAAGATGCAGCGGCCATTGGCAGATTAAAGTGATGCTTGTGGTCTTTGATCTTCCATGCGAAATAGCAAACCGAGACGAACATAAAATGAGACCGAATCCCAGGAGAGGTCCAACCTCTTTTTCCTCGATTCCCAAACGATGGCGATCAAGAAAAGGCAAGGAAAGAATTAAAAACAAAGAGCGAGTTCGAGAAAATTAAAAGAGAAAAAGAGATGTCCCTTCGTCGCCAATTGACCAAGATATAATGCGGGTACATCTCTCGAGCGATACAACAAGAATATCGATACTCACGAAAACGAAGTAAGATTTCTTCATGGTCCTTGCCGTCAATCTCGGCGGGGACATTCGTCGGTGATGGATTTTATTATTTCACTCGTTAACCGACTGTACGCAGCTCTCCGCGGTCACCACGGAGCTCTTGTCAAAGATCGTCAAATTTCCACCACGTGCGACTCTCACCCCTTGACGAAGGGCGCATCGAGGAATCTGTCGAGCGCCAATCGCAAGGCAGATTAACGAATTCCTTTCTTGTGTCTTGGTTTCACTTACAAATATGTATCTGTGAACACTTCACCCTCCTTCCCACCGCGCTACACACATAACAAATATCGCGCGAGGCACGTGTCGCGGTTTAACGACGAACGCGATAAGAAATCAGCCGACCCGACGTCGATTTTCAAGACGGAATCTCTAATCGAAGAAATTTGGAACGAGCGATCGCGATCGTCGAGAGATCGTCGAGAACGGTCCCACGGAAACTCGAGCGATCGCGTTTATCGTCGCTGCGGAAAGAGGGGAGGGGGAGAGGGAAGCGCCCGATCACACAGCAGGGTGTCTACGGCCACACGTGTGTGCGTGTCCCTGGCGTTACCGGACTGCGATGTCGTCGGGCCGAGATGCGCGACGCGAGTGTCAGTGTCGGCCTTAACGTCTCGAAAGCGCTTGACGTTGGCGCCCGTGTGGCGTGGTGCAAAGTGGGGGATGCGGAGGGGAGAGACTATCGTCCATCCCTCCCGTCCCCGTTCTCCCTCGCTTCACGTCCTCGTCCACCTACGCCACCCCCGTGGAGAACGCCGCACTCGACTCCCACAGTGCTACACCACCGCGCTCGCCCCCTTGTGCACCCATCGACCCCGCGGCCACCCACTTCACGTCGGGGCGAGAGTGGAATAAAGTGCCGCCCGGAGAGATGGTAGAACCGAGCGACGACGCACGAAGGACGAGAGGGGAGGCATACGAAGGGGTAAAAGACGTAGATGTCGGTAGGAGGGAGAGCATAATCCGCAGTTGCAACGATCAAACAAGCGTCGAATTTGTTTCCTTTTTTTTTTATCCGCCGCTTTGGCTATCCTAATCTGTACTCCTTTTTTTCTCTTCAAAGAGAGAAATGGGAGAGTCGATAATTGTTTACGGTTTGCGGATATGAAGAATGCTCTCTGCGACTGCGATGTGTGCTCTGCACATCGTGTTTTCCGCTCTGCGGAAATCGCAGCGAGAGGCAATTCATTCGGCACGTAATTTAGTTTATGTGTCGTTACGTACCGTGGCCTACGAATCGTGTTTCATTCATGGTCTTGTATCTAACCAACTGCCGAAAGTACAATTGACAAGATTTGAGACTTTTAGCTTGCATTTCACATTTAGAAAAAAAAAAAAAAAAAATAAGGACATGAAATATCAGGGCTGGCAAAATTTCACATTTTTGGATAAAATCCATGCCAGTGGTAAAAATCGGTAAAAAAACTGAAGGGGGATCTGTTCTATTAATAATTTTAAAATAAATGAAAATTTTTTTTTTGACGTTCCTTAATTGAGAGAGTGTTTTCTAATTTAAGTTTTGTATCCAAAATAAAATCTGTAATGGATTAGGAATTGACGTAGCAAATAAATTAGTTTTTTGTTCAAAGATGTTGAAAGGTAAACGCGAACTAGATTTACATTGGTAAAAATTTTTAATTCCGTTACTATTACATTTTTCTTATTAAATTAAAAATTAATATAAAATTCAGTAACATTTATAAGTCTCTTCCAAGCTTTTGTTTTAAAACTTTCACATATTAATTTGAATTAAAAAAGATTTTATTATTATATTAATTTTTTTGAACTATAGTGATTAATATGATTTATTATAATTATTTTTATAATTTTTACCAATTTTTTTTCCATTGGATAAAGTTCGGGACAATAAAAACCGGAATTTACCATGGCTTTTTCCATTCATTGGATTTTTCTGACCAACCCTGTGAAATATTCATTATATTTTTGTGTCACAAAATTAAACATTAATTTTATAGATTGCTCTTATTACATTTGTTTTAAATTGTATGTGCATACCAGTAATAAGCAATCCAAAATTACATAAATTATCATATGAAAAATGTTCATATTTTTGTAAATCGATATCTATAGATGTGTCAAATTTTTAGCTTATATTACATATAATTATAACGTATTTGGTACTATGATAGTAAGAGATTACTAGTAAAATCCGACTAAATTCTGTGTCTTTATGTTCCTAATAGATTCAATCTTGTTGTTCTCGGTAAATTTTATGTTAAACAATCAGATTACCAAATAGATAAAAAATAATGAAGCTTTGAGATATTTTTCTCATATATTCCGTTTTATGCGCATGTAATTAATAATGACCTTTTATACCGTTTCCTTTTATAAAGATAAAACTACAAAGCATAACAATATCTCCAGTTTGTCTCACATAACAATGTTCGAACAATATTATGAGTATTATATGTTGCTAATATGCGAAACGGCCGGGATATGAAAATTTGGAATATTATGACGTCAGAAAGCTTGCCGTACGAGTTCGCGAAATCACCCTGCGGTCAGTGCGGTTGAACCCCAAGTCCACTTTATGTACGCGTGTACATTTCAGGACCAGCAGAGTACGAGAGTTAACTTATCTCGAGAATTGTTTTTGGCGACTATGTATAGCTATATATTATATAAATCTTTCTTCATAATTAATTTTTATTAAATAAAGCTCTTTAAGACTTAAAGAAAAAAGACGAGTAAAAAACGTTATAGTTTTAGATAAAAGCAAAAGATAAGAGGCAAAAAATAAATTTCATTTCTGCTTAATTTGTTTGTATCTTCACTTTTTTTTACAAAAAACAGAACTATGCGTACCTCATATTCTCAATTTAATTCATTAATATAACTTATATTATTTGCCTTTTAAAATTCTTGTTTAAATATATTAATGTTTTTTTGTAAACTGAATGTTTTATGACATAACATGATAAGAGATAAAAACGAAAATTACCAGCAGTGAAAATGCTGGTAATTTAATAAGGCTGGTTTGTTCTTCGCTCGCTTTATATCAAGTGTCCATAACAAAAAATATCCTACAAATAATATATAACTTTGTTTTATATATGTGTATAATACATATTTTAGGTCCCTTAAAAAACGCTCCGTTTTTTTCTCTTTTGAAACATGAAGCTATACGCGTAATTTTATCCACTATGCAAATAAATAAAAACAGGTTGACTAGACGGAAACAGAGAATTAATATAATGGAAAATAATAAATTGGAAATTGTGTGGGAGAAATGTAACAGATATTTTTAACATTTTTCACTCCTCATTTCAATGAAAAATTGCAGTAAGAATAAACGAATTATATTAAATAACTGCAAAATACTATTAATCAATTTGGATGAATTTCGTATATATTTCGCATTGAAATTCAGTCATTTAATTTATTTGTACACAGTTCTTCAATTGCGTAAACTGCTCAGCAAAATAAAATAATTTTGTAATTTTAAGTGTGTGCAAATATTATACGTACTTTTATTGTTGAATGATGTATTTTATGATTAATTTTAATAATAGTAATAATGCATGAGAACTCTATACGAACCTAAATAATCGTTTTTATTCAAGTATCTGCTAAGAATGACATTATTAATTATTTTTTCCACTCAATATATAATGAAGTCCCTGATAGAAAAAACTGCAATGCTTCTTATAAATAGATAAATTAGATAAATTTCTTGATTTTCAGAAAGAATTGTATTACTTGATTGCGGAAATGATTTCACCACAACTAATGACAAATCGTAATTAATTGTAAGTATAAGTATAGTTGATTATTGTATTAAGAGAAAAAGTATAGTGAAATAAATATGACATTTTGAAGCACGCACAGGTTTCCGATTTTCGAAGAGGATTTTGTCCTCAGTTTCATAACGAATGGATTTGTGTCACGCGCGGCCGGGATTTATCGATGCTGAAAATTCACCACCGCACTAGAACCAACGACAATTATCCGAAAAGTTGCCAACACGACAAAAATGGTCGACACAAGGGATTGTTATCGCATTGCGTGCTGCGTACTGGATGTTTGATGAACGTTAATCGAAATATTGAATCAAACGTGTGCGTCCGGCCTGAAGCACACATATACTTGACAAGTACATATATAACAATGATTGGCAACAACTTATGCAATACGCACATATTTTAACGAGACTAATATAATAGCTAATAAATATATACAAAAATAATCAATCGAATATACAATCGATTAAAAATTTTTGCGGCTTTAAAAATTACATGTTAAGATACAATTAATCTTTATAAATTGAATTAGCTTGTTAAAATATATATTTTCTATTTTTTTTTTTGCATTTCTCAGATATTAACTAAAGATTAAACTATAAACTATCAATTTTTTATGTGAAAAGTATAAGAAAAAAGTGAATAAAACAGAGAAGAATGAGCTAAACATGCTTCTATGATAATCTGTTAACAGAAGGCAGTACAAAAAAAAAGTTATAAATACACCTGAATATAAATTGAATCTGTGGCTGCATTTTAAATCGGAAGTGTACTTTCTTTTCTCCACTACTTTCTTGCAATATAACAAATAATTAAGAAAAAGCATAATCTATTATTATATATGTACTTATTAGAAGCAATTTTAAAATAGGTTTTTTATTGCCACACTGATAATGGAAGAATAACTGATAATCATTTCAGCCTGGAAAAATATTTGATTTCTTACGAAGCTGACAAAAAAAATTTTATGATATTGCGCGAAAGATTTAATAATTAATTTTGTCTCGAGATGCACACAATTAAACGCGTTACATTTTCAAATATTATTAAAAGCTATACTTCAAAAGTAATGTCGTAAAGTTATATAAATTGTATAAGATATTCTATAAATATGCAATCTAATTATATCCGTGCGAAATGATAGTATCAGACGTATAAGACAGTTTAAGAACGTTGAGAGATTCTCAATCTAATCATAGAAAATGTTTAATTAAATACATTCTGGATATTATTAAATAATCATCATAATCTTGGCTTGCTAATAATTTTTCCATGATATCTAGAATCCATGATATCGGAAAATATTCTGAGTTTATAATAAGTCTATATACGTTTCTCATTATCGGATAGAGACATCGTGTGGGTCCTACAGTCTAGGTTTAGAGTCACAGTTTATAAGAGCTTCTCCACATATAGCCCAATAATTTATTTTTCTAAGAAAAGAAATGATTAAAATGGCAAAAGTACCACAAACATTTAATTAGTATATAATCCAAATCTACTACTTTAAAAAATGCATTTTAATTTTAAAATTACGGAGCTTAAGATTTGTAAATAAGTTTAAATTATCGTTGTTATCATTAAAAACAAGCATAAATAAATATCATAGAAGGGAAAAATTGTATGGACTTGCGTTCTGAAGGCGCGTACGCCAGGAAACGCATGAAAATCGAAACGTTTTAAGGCCTTTGATGTCCCTAAGGCACTCAGACCAAGCCATTCCACCGCAGGGGCGAGATAAACGCCCGGTACGAACCGAATGGGGCCCCCGCCAATTCCGTATAAAACCGTCTCTCTGCTTCCGGTATATTTATTTCGATGAAAGGCCTCGCGGTAACGGCTCGTGCATTAC